TGTGATAATTACTTATATAATGTTATGTCTTTCAAAGAGCTAAGAGAAGAAAGTAGGAAAGCATATATTTATAGAGTTTTTAATGTTAACCTCTTATTAACCTTTGGGCTCTCTTTCTACCTGTGGATTTGAGTTATCATTCTGTTATTTCTTTACTCCAAACTCCAGTATAGCTTTGTTACTGCCTCTTTTGTGCTGTCATTGTCAAATATATTACATTTATGTATGTTATTATACCAGTAATACAGTTATTTACATATTATTTTTGTCAGTTGCCTTTTAAATCAGTCAGTTCCCAAAGAATCAGTATTCAAGATGAACATTTAAATAATCTTCAATCTTTCTCATTCTCTAGTATTGTAATTACATATCTTGCTATCTCTCATTGGAAATGTAGATTATTACAGCATCCACTGTGGGTTAAAAAGGATTTTGTGGAATCCTTGGTAAAGTAACTGCCAGTTATATCTGTGTGGGATATGTCCAAGTGTATTCTTAGGATAAATAGGATTTTCTTTCTTTTGAAAAAACTCTGTTACTCAGCTTTAGTAATCACTGTGAGTCTTTGGGAAGGTTACGTAACTTCTGAGTATTAGTGTTCTCACCTCAGAAGATGATGATGGAGATTTAAAGAAAACATTTGAAAATCCCTTAAAGTGTTGCTTGGCAAAAATGAGAATCCCGTGATTGATACGGTTAAATTAATCTTATCATCAGTAATAGTCACAGGATATAACTTCTACCATGTATATTTTCCCTATGGCAGTGTACCTGTTATACGTTCATTTTCTGCCTTCATGATATGGCTCTGGCCCACCTCTTGCAATGCATAGTCTACTATTTTTTGTAACTGAGGAAGGATAGTTGATTAATAAAGAAAACAACAAATAAAAATGACTCAGTTATTATCTTTAAAAAAATAAACAAATAATTATATTGTATTTGGCTTGCTTTTCTTTACTTTTTTAGTTATTTATTTATTTATCCTTACTTGCCTTTACTGAAGTTCTTAGTATTTGCGTTTGGATTTGGATTACTACTTGATGTCACTTGCCACTTACTTTTATCCTGGAAAACTTCTTTTTACTCTTTATTATAAAGCATTTCTACAAGCATGGAATTGTTATTGGGGTTTCCTCAAAAGTTGATAAGTTATTTATCTCTTGTTGCTTTTGAGATTTTGTCTTTGGCATTCAACATTTCCACTATAACGTGTCTGTTTGTGAATGTCTTTGTTTTTATGGTACCAGAAGTGTGTTTTTTTTTTTTTTAAGATTTTATTTATTTATTTAACAGACAGAGATCACAAGTAGGCAGAGAGGCAGGTAGAGAGAGAGGAGGAAGCAGGCTCCCCGCTGAGCAGAGAGCCCGATGTGGGGCTCGATCCCAGGATCCTGGGATCATGACCTGAGCCGAAGGCAGAGGCTTTAACCCACTGAGCCACCCAGGCGCCCCCAGAAGTGTGTTTTTTAAAGTTTTGTTTTGTTTTCTTCTCTTTTTTTGAGAGAGAGAGGCGTGAGCAGAAGGGGAGAGGCAGAGGGAGAGGGAGGAGAAGCAGACTCCTGCTGAGCAGGGAGCCCCAAATGGGCTGATCTCAGAACCCTGAGATCATGACCTGAGCCAAAGGTAGAGGCTTAACCCACTGAGCCACCCGGGTGCCCCATGGTATTTGAAGTTATGTCAAGCTCCAAGCTCATTGAATATATTTCTCCCATGTCTGAAGGGCTTCATTATTCCTTATTTTCTTACCACAAATACTTAGCTCACTTACACTGTAAGCCCAACTCCTGAAGGCATTTTGGAGTTTCAATAAGAGTGTGGATGTGAATTGAGCTTAATTACAATTGCAAGTAAGCAAGTCTATAGGACAGAAGGATAATAGATGAGTTCCCTTCCCCAATGTATGTGATTTCAATATTATCTTGATTAACTCTGAACTTGTGATTTCTTGAAAGAGTATTGACTGTTAACCACCCGTAGTGAAGCACTTCCAATGTATGTTCTCCTAGCACAGTTTGTACCTTCTGTACATAATTCATTACTACATGTAGTTAAATAATGCCCGTCTAACAATGGATTTCAAGTTCTGGGGTGCCTGGGTGGCTTAGTTGGTTAAGAGTCTGACTCTTGATTTCAGCTCAGATCGCGATCTGGATTGTGAGATCGAGCCCTGGTTTGGGCTCCGCTCTGGGTGAGGAGCCCAGGATTCTCTATCTCTCAAATCCTCCTCCCCTTCCTCACACCCCACCCCACTTGTGTGCATCTCTCTCTCCCTCCAAGAAAAAAAAAAAAAAAAGATTTCAAGTCCTAATCCCTGAAATTTGTAAATGTTACTTTGTTTAGAAAGTCTTTGTAGATGTAATTAAGTTAAGGATACTGGGTGAAGAGATTAGTTTAGATTATCTGGTTGGGGTTTAAATGCTTTCAGATAAGATGTGTCCTGAGAGAGAGAGCACTTGCATAGGCGTGGGACAGACACACACACACACACACACACACACACACACACACGCACGCAGAGGAGATACACCAAAGCAGAGAAGGCAGCAGGAGATGGCCTCAAGCTATGCAGTGCTAGCAACCTCGGGAACTGGAATAGGCAAAGAATGGATTCTCCCCTAGAGCTTCCAGGAGTGCGGCTCTGCCAACATCTCTGAATTTCAACTTCTGGCTTCCAGGACTATGAGGGAATAAATTTCTCTTGTCTACAGTCATTGAATTCTCTATTTTGTTTATCTGCGAATGTCTTTACCTCACCTTAATTTTGGAAAAGTCGTTTTTCTGGATATAAAATTCTTTTTTAGCAGTTTTTGTTGTTGTTTTTTGTTTTTGTTTTTGTTTTTTTAGGTTCAACACTTTGAATATATTGTCTTATTTTTTCTTTTGAGAAGTCAGCTGACCTTGGTAACTTGAGCACCTCAGCTACTAGGGCTTGGCTGTGCTTGGTCTTTCTGGTGTACTTGTTGAAGGAATGAATAAATGGGCTGTGATTCCCCCATCACTCATAGTTTATTAACGGTAGGACATTACTATATTTCTGGTTACCCAGCAAAGGAACTGAGAGGGAACTGTAAAAGTTTTATGAATAGGAAAAAAGAAGCCACAATTTTGTGGGTGGTTTTTGCCTGTGGGTCGAGTTAGAATTTGGATTTCTAGGCTAGAAACAGTGGATGTTTTCTGAGGAGTAGAACATGGAGGGGTAGGCATCTGAAATGGTGTTTCCCAGGTACTATACAATAAGCTACAACAGTTTTTCGGGCTAGTCATAGCCATGCTTGATGCAGCTTCTCCGTGGTTTCGCTCCATATTGGTCTTGCATCACAAGGCAATAAGGGATTATCCACAGGGCCCAGTATAGAAGAGATGCTGCAAAATGTTAAGAGTCTCATGCTCTACCGACTCAGCTAGCCGGGCGCTAGAGATGCTGCAAAATGTTAAAGGAGAGACGTGAGAAAGGCTTAAAACCTAATGACGAATCACACACATCATAGGTAATTGAGAGAAAGTGCTTCAGATTTAACAGAGATGAGATACCATATGGTTTGACCTTACGGACAACTCATAAATATTTGACTATATATATTTATCTGAATATATATGTAGTTATTTATAGATATACATATATATGTATATATGGCTCTTTGAATATACAGCCTCAGACATTGCTGCTTCTGAGTCCTATTCTACATTAGAAAAACAAAAAACAAAAAACAAAGTCAAACTAAGAAAAAGGACCCTGTGATTTGTTTTGAGTTTTACAGTGAGCTCAGTCTGCTGGAACTACTGTTCAAAGAGGCTTTCACCATTTGACTCATTGACTGCGTAAGGATTTTGCTCAGATTAATCACCCTCTTACGCAGTCTACCAACATTAATGGCTATGTCATGTTACTTCAGCTTATGCCTCAGGGTCCAAATAAGAACATTGTGTGTGTATGCACATGCGTGCAGGTCTGTGTTTGCAAACAGGAAACCCGTTCCTGAAAGAGTAAATTTCTTTTTCATCCAATTTCCTATTCTTTTCTTATATATTTCTTATTTTTTGTCATCTATGGGAGTGTTTGTCTCTTTGCTACACTTCCCCTCAGCCCACCGTGGCTTAGACCCAGTGTGTATCCGCACCATGTCAAATTCTATTTCTTCCAAGAAGCTACTTCAGCCAGAGGTGATATCTTTATTCTTTGAATGCCTATAGTATGTTGCTTGTATGCTTACATTTTTATCATGATCCTCAAAATGACAAGAGTCACCATTCGTCAAGTGTTCACTATATGCCAACCTTTGGGTCACATCCTTTACCTAAGTTACCGCATTTAATTCTTAAAATTCTGTGAAGTGAGCTCTACTATCTCTGCCAATTGAGAAAACTGAAATTTGAGAAGACTGAAATTTAGGGAAGTTTAAATGATTTGCACAAGACATAGAGTTTCTGAATGGAGAATCCAAAGTTCACACCTAGGTAATTTCTATAGCTTTCATTTTTAACCTTGAACAAGTATTGTCTCTTAGTCCAACCTGATAGCATAGTAGATGTATTTTCTTTCCCAGATTATATGATGTTTAAGGATAGAGATCCTATATTATTTCTTTTCTTTCTCTAATAATGGCTTCCAGTACCTAGCAACTAAATAAATATTGATTGGATGAATCAATAAATATCTAGAATGAAATTATTGTAATAAAAATTACTGAGCCTTAAAATATATTTTGGAATAATTTAAGGAAGTTATGCTGGTGGCTACAAATGAGTCATTATAAAACTTAAAAGATGTTATTTATGGGTAAGCATGATCATTATGCCAAATATCTTTTTTCATGTTTCTTAAAGTTCTATATGCAAACAGTGTATGAAATGATGCAATACAATATTCACTCGCAGTTTTTGTAAGTTTCCTAGCTGGATGATTTGGTTTGGTTCAGTTTATCAAAATGTTTTTGTTTTATTCACTTTATATGTTAACTTCCTGTCCTTTTTTTTTTTTTTTTCGGTTTTGTTTCCAGGATGGTGTAGGGGTGGATGAGAAGCTGTCCTTGCGGCGGGTAGCTGTGGTTGAAGATTTCTTTGACATTATCTATTCGATGCATGTGGAAACAGGGCCAAATGGAGAACAAATTCGGAAACATGCTGGACAAAAGAGAACTTACAAAGCAGTAAGTTAAAAAACAAAAAAACAAAAAGCAAAAGGCATGCATTTTGAAATTTGGTATTATGTATGTTGATTTTGGGTTAAATATTTATAAATATTCTATCTTCAGTATAAATCAGACTATATCATGGTTACACCCAACATTTAAACTATTATGATTAACTGATTTTGTTTGGGTCATATATTTGCGAAGTCTATTGCATATAATTGAAATCTGTCTCTTGCACTCTCATTTTGTTTTCTTTAAATATACAAAAAATGTGGTAGTCCCAGTCGAATGCCCACAAATGGGAAGATGTATTTGTGTTATACATTCAATATGTATTCAAATCATGATATATGGATTATGGGCTGGGATATATGAACTTTCATACTACCACTCTAATCTTAACCTTTCTTCCCCTTCAAATCATACCAATATATTCAGGTGTTTCCTATTTAATCTTATATTCCCATGAATAAGGAAATTTGATGTTTTTTTCTTGTGTCACCTTGTATTAAATACATTTATCCTGAAGAGTATGCATTTCTTAATTTTCCAGAATAGAGAATTAAAATATATGTGTTGTTTTCATAGATCCAATGCCCTTGAACATTTTAAAATGAAAATATACAATGTTTTTATCATAAATTATATGGAAAACATTTAATTAACTGTTAAATATTGAAATATATATATATATTCTCAAAATGGAGTTATATATTATTTCTAAAGTTTCTAATTATATTTACAGTTTGACCTAGACACTTGAATCTAGCTTTTATTTAATCAAACATTTTATGAAATCATCTTATAGATCTTTCATCCTTTCTCGGAAAATTGAACAGTAAATTATTCTTTTCCAATATGAGCAAAGTATACATCAGAAGTATTTTATCAGCAACCAGAATAATATCCTTTTTTAGAATTCTTATTGAACTTTGCTTTTGGCTACCTTTTTATTGACTGTTTTCAGCTATATTGATACACAATATCAGTCTGGATCCATTTTTTTTTCAGATACAGAAAAATGTGTGAAATGCTCAAAGTTTCAAATACAGGTACATATGTTTGAAAATTAGCTACTGAGCATAAGAAATAGCTTCTTTTCCATAACTATTTTTTGCTATATTTCCAGGGTCATATTGAACCTTTGTAGTTGCATAATAACCCCTAATACATGTTGTATTTATCTCTCCTTCTCTATGGTTTTGTTTCTTGGCTGTTTCCAAATTGCATGGTTTGTGGGCAGGCACTATTGTAAGTTGCCTTACATAATTCTGCCACATAAACTTTCTTTTGACTTGCATATCCTAGGAGACATTCTTATCATGACTAATGACAATGGCCTAGCTTCTTAAAATAATCTTATATAGACTAATATTACTGAACATACTCATTTTGCTTGTCTCCTAAGCTAGGGCTGTATCTTTGGGTATTAACAGGAAACAAATATACATTGATCTACTAATATCACTAACTGTGTACTCTGATAATCATGCATTTTCATGAGCTAGCTGCCTGAACTGGATAGAACTTTGTAAGGTAGGACTGCATAAGTTCAGCTGTGAAATGAGAGCAAACAAACAAACAAACAAAAAGGCTTCATTGTCAGTAGTAGGGTGGCAGCCAAATCTGTTTCGGGGCCAAAAGCAATTTAAAATGATTTAATCTTTGGAGTGCATTTATTGGAGACCTTTAATTCATACCGTGACACAGACCCAGGTCTCTCACCCTATTTTCTTATGTGAAATGTAGGGAAGGTGACCCATTGCCATTATGCATGCTAGACCCGTCCAAGAAATTGGTAAACATGTTCCTGACATATATCATTTTGCATTCACATTATGAAGACATTTTCTGCATTTTGGGGTGGAAATACCAACTGTGGACGTACAAGCAGCACTGAAGCATTCTCCATTCCCTCTTGAGAACATCCTATTTAAAGATCCTTTCCCCAGTTTATTTTTAATTTCCACATCGAAAATACTTTTCACCTTTTTCTAATATCACGAAGGTTCTTTTTGGCATGATCTTTTTTTGCCTTCCAGTATCTCTTAATTGAATCCTAATTAAGAATTATTTCCATTTTATAGAGTCATAATATATCATAGAAAAAAAAAAAGAACTCCTCAGTGCCAGGGAAACCGTACATACCACTCTACAATAGAGTAAGTCTAATGTTAGCATTTCACATAAATATTCAAGTAAATTGGGCATAAGATGAAACGTAATTTGAAATGGAATTAGGTTAGTGGTAATAGGGCCCCAGACTGTTGGGTCAATGTTGAGTTCTCAATACTAACACTAGAACTGGCTAGTCATTGGTAGAATTAGCTCAATACCTATTGCAATTAGAGTGGTTTCAATGAAGTTTAAGATTTTTTTTTTCTATTTCTAACACATTAGTCATAGCGCATGCATCATTCTGTTTATTGACCTTTTTCTCCCTTTTTCAACATGGCCAAGAAACCATACTTATACAACTAATCATTAAAGCGTTTCATATTGTTTTAATAATATTATCAATAGATTTAGTGGTCATTTTATTTACTTTGCCTTTTTTTGCAAATCTTTCTATGTTTTCACTCTGCAGGAAATGGTGGTCCTTTAATATTGGATTAACTTTTGAATGCTATTTGTTTTTACCTATCTGCAGTATGTCATTCCTTGAAATATCTAGGCATTATACAACTTAACTATTATTGCAATCTGATCTGACTATAGATAAATAAAATTGGAGGGTATGTATTCTACTACTGATGAGCTCTTTTTTTAAAAATCCACATAAAATGACACATTTTAGGAAAATGTAAAGGCTATCATAATTGTTTTGTTCAGTCATTGGGGGAATTCTAGTGTTTCTTAGGTCATTTTTTTCCCCTGCATTTGTCCTTGTGTATATATGAACTATTACTGCTGCACTGAATGTGTTTTCTTCAATAGATTTGACTACGGTCAACTTTGGATTATGTACATTAACAGAGCAGAGAGGAGCTATGGCCCATTCAAATATCACTTATATTTGAATTTAAAATACATCTTGGTACTGAAAATTGAATGCAAGCAGGCTTAGCAATTTGGAAGGTTACACCAAAATTAAGGATGTAGTATTGTACAAAATTACTGTGAGATGTTGTCTTCCAGTACTTAATTCTCAACTTCTGCCTGAGCTCCACCCTTTGGGAATATATCACTCTTCTCCAGTTGTCTTTTTTCACGTGTATTTTATCCCAGGCTAAGCACAGTTGCCCTTCCAGTAGCATAAGTTAGGGTCCTATTAGAGGATTAAGTTTCAGAGCTTTTTCTTCTACATGTAAAATTAGAGTGACTGGTGGAAATCCAGGAGCTAAGGGGGAAAGTCAGTGTTTTCCATAGTGAGAAGAGTCTGCATATAAATGTACATATGTACACACACACGCGCGCATGCACACACACAACTTGTAGTGTGATACTGTAAACCTGCATGTATTATTCACATACGTTGCTGCCAATAATTACATTCATTTAATTCAGAGTGGAGAGCATATGCTAGGGCTAAAAGAAAATAGGCCAGAAGCCAGACAAATTCAGTTTCAGATTTCAAATCTAGCACTTCCTATCTGTGTCAGTTTTGGCAAATTATTTACTTTTTTCCTCCGCCTGTTTAGAGGGAGGTAACGATGTGCATGGTGTGGGGATATAAGTGAGTTCATATGCGTAATGTGCTTGGTGTATGGTCAACTTTGGAATGATGTTATGTTGCTTTTATCCAGTCACTACTCATGTTCCAAGCAGAGAGACAAGCAGGACAATTAACACAGCTCTGCCATCGCTCTAGTTACAGTTATGGATACAATTTCCTCTGCCCACCCTGATGTCTCTGTGCTGGGAGAGAGGAATAAAAAACGCCTTGTGTGTTCTTTTATGTCAAACTCTAGACGTCAGCATCCCTGCGAGGTCCACTGTATAAGTTTTATCGGAGGTTTCACCAGGCGCTTTGCTTTTTCCCAAGTGTAAGTCTATTAAATTAATTTCAAATGAACTTTTTGAAAAATTTTAAAATTGTATCTCTTTAAAGAATGTGTTTTCAATATGAATTGAACATCCCTCTCTAGGGACATACTCTAGAAAAACAGCATATAGTGTAGAATGTCCACATTCTTAATCTAAAAATTTAAAAATGTACGTCTTGTCTTTATCTTATCAGATCGAGAACACTTAACCCCAAGACTTTAGTTAGTATAATTTTTGTTCTCTTCTTTTCTTAAATGCTTTATTGGCTTAGTGTTTCCACTGCTAAATAGGATATTTTAACTTGCACTGGTTTCTGGTGATTTGTTACTAAAATTTTCTAGAGTTCTTGTCAACTTGTAATGAGACTAATGAACAAAATTTGTAGCCATTGTGGTGTGAAAAAATTACACTATATTAAAATTCAAGAGTTCCGAACAATTAATTTAACTTATTTTTGGCTAGGCTACCTTTCAGTTTTCTTTAAACTCTGAAGGAACAACACCAAAAAAAAAAAAAAAAAAAAAAGGTAGGAGGTGTATCTGGGTGGCCCAGTTGGCTGAGCATCCACCTCTTGATTTTGGCTGAGGTCATGATCTCATGCTCCTGAGATCAAGCCCCACATCAGGCTCCATGCTCAGTGGGAGTCTGCTCAAGATTCTCTCTCTTCCTCTCCCTCTGCCCTTCCCCCTACTTGCTCTCTCTCTCCAAAATAAATAAATCTTTAAAAAAAGAAAAAACACTGAAGGAATAACACCAACAGTAATGGTGTACGTGGGCCATTACTGTGCTGGCGAAACAATGGAGATAGTAACCAAAGTGTGTAAATTAGTCGGCACCAGATATGTGGAAACATAGGGAATTATCCTGCTGTTATAGAGGCACATTGGCTGAGAAACATAGTGTAGAGATAGAACATTTTGGTTCCACCATTATCTAGAAAATTCTTCCGTAAATAATTATAATGATGATGATAAGAACAATAATGAAAAGGATATGTAGTCATTGGACTTTGTATTTCCAGGAATTTA